GGTAGGTTTGGGGGGTATTATCCTGGCACGCAGCTGCTTTTCTCTTGGCGCATCTGCGGAGTAGGCGGCATTAGAAATGGCACTGATCAGGTGATTTCACACAGTCAGGTGCACACAGTGCTAGCTGTCTGTATGGTCAGTCAATGATTTCCATTTCCATATCTGCAACAGGAGAGGGTTGCGGAGTGCCTGGTGAGTGGTCATCTTGCATTCTTTTAAGGCGCTTTCTAATGCGAGTTAGGTGCTCGCGGGCATGGAGGAGTCGCGTTTCATAGGAGGCCACTCTTTCACAGGCTGTCTTCTCCATGTTCTGTAACGTTGGGATGTCCGCTGCGGCGAGGTCGACGTCCTGCATGGAGTCACTGGCGGGCTCAGGGCTGCTAGCACCAGCAGTGTCAGTTGCTTGAGTCTCTGGCGATGCTTTGGGTGTATTTGCAGGCGACGATTCTTCTGTTGATGTGTCGTCGTGGGCTGCGAGCTGTTTCGGAGGTTGTTGTTGCTCATCATCTTTGCTGTGAGTTGCAGAGTGAGAGTCAGAGGATAACACGCCGGTACCCGGGGTATCCGTTTGCGCTTTGTTCGCAGGAAGGGCCGACGGTGGGCCTGGTCTTCTGTGAAATAATGATTGTGCACTGATTTTGTCAGGTGGCTTGCTTTGCTGCGGGGTTAGAGCTTCTGCCACCACGCCTGTACTGGGATTGGACGATGCGGCGGTTGCTGCATTGTCTGTGCTTTGTTGACTTGCGGCCAGCAAATTGGCTGGTTTGTGGGTCTGTCTGGTCGCCGCTGGTCGGCTATCTGCCAACGTTTGTTGGTTTGCTTGATGAATAATAGACTGCAATTCCATGTATTGCCGCTCTCGGTCAGCCACTTGCTGTGGCGTGCTCTGAGTACATTTAGGGTCCTGTGAAGCATCTGCTTGCATTTTTTGTACTGGCTGTTTTGCTGCGGATCGCTTTGTCCACCTGGTCGGTAGCGGCGGAGGCGGAGGCAGTGCCCGTTTTGCATGTTGTGAAGACTTATGTTGGTCAATGCGTGGCTGAAGTTCATCTCGCAGTTCCTGCGGGTACGGCTCTCCGGTCTCAGCTAACCACTGTATGGTTTCGTCATGCGTCCACAGGGTGGTTCTCCACAATGGGATGGTATTGTCTTCATTGACCCAGAACAATGGCTTAGGCGGCAGCAACTCATGGGCTTCTACTATCAAAGGCAGCAGGAAGGCTAATCTTTTTTGATCATGGAAAATCATTGCTCCGTTCGGGTGAACTTTCAGGTGAGTATGGTTCCACACAAAAGGTTGCACAACACGCATGGTGTGAGCGTCACGATTAAAGATGGATAGTCGGACTTGGGCATACTGTGGTGCAGCACCGTAGACTTTTGCATCCCAGGGTGGTTCAAGAAAGCCCCACCGCTCTTTTCGGCCGTAATTAACGGTATCCCAGAAGGCAGGGTCAAACTCTTTCTCAAGGGCGTCGGCAAGGGTCGAAAAGATGATCCATGGCACCTCGTCGATATGCAAGTGGTATTCTACCAACGTGAAATTATATGTTGTCTGGCAATCTCCTACCCATATTGTGCCCCTCACTGCAAGAAAACGAACGCTGCTGGCTGCTGGCATGTCCCAATTCATTCCAGCCGATATGTCCAGTAGGTGTTGATCAGAAACACTGATTTGGCCAGACGGGAAAGGGTTTTGCCTCGGCATACCAGCAACAGGTACCCTGCAGTGGCAGCACTCGCCGAAGTGGAGGCAATTGCACGGCGTCTAGTAAGACCAAACGACAGGAACCACTCGCAATTGCGTGGCAGCGGCCAAACAACGAAAGGCGGGCAGCGGCCAAACAACGAGGACCCCGTGTCGGCTTGAAAGTATGAACGGGCGAGCAAATTAGAAGTTGGATAAAAATGAGGATCCAGTCAACCCTGGCTTATGCAGGTGTGGTGTCCTCACAGTTCGAACCAATGGCTGCTGACGGAGACAGTGAATCATGTTCGGTCCAGGCAGAGTCAACAAAATACCAGACACTGCAACAGTAGGAAATATGTACGACATATGACCGGTGACAGGATTGGAGGGACGGTGCATTGTGGTTCAGTAGTAGATTCATGACACAGGAGGGAGTAGCAAGGGGCGGGGCAAGTGGTGGGGCCGTAGCACATGACAGGCGGGGGTGGCTATCTGTGTAAGATATGCTAGAAAAGATGGACACTGAGGAGCATCATCAGCAAGGAGTACACATTATTGAGAGTATAGATAGCTGTCGGGATATTGGGAAGAGGGTGGCAGTCATGAGGGCATGAACCATGTGAGATGAGTACCTGGTGGGGTGAAAACGGAGCTGAGCCCTCACCATTACCCAAGGTGCCCTTGGGAACAGTAGAGGAATAACAGACACATGTGTCATGTTCCTACCGATGTGAGGGGCACAGCGGGGGGTGAGGGCATGCGGGACGACTTAGATAGATGATGGAGTGCGGGAAAACCCTATGTCATCAAACCCTATGTCGTCCAGGGCATTCATGGTTCCATCCAACTGGCACTGCAATCTCATGGTCAAAAGTTTGACAGGATGGACAGAGGAAGATCTGCTGGAGTAAGGCACGAACGTGGTCAGCAGTTGCGCTACGCGCTGCCCTGTGCATGGACAAGGTCCGAAATGCTGTACAGCGCTAATGGGCTTGCTGACCAAGGAGAGCTTCACAGCTGCATGCCGCCATCTAGATGGGGCGAGGCAGAGGCTATTTCAGCGCTACTTCAGTACAGAACACTAAGATAGCACCGGCTTGGAACAGTGTACCGCATTGCAGTGTAGTAGTTAGACTCGCCATTACCCAAGGTACCCATGGGAACAGCAGCTGTCCTAAACTGCGAGCACTCGAGGCTCTATCAAGCTCTGAGCATGAGGTGCAATGGGCGGCGAGAGCTCTATCTACCGAAACTTGGCGGCCCTGGATGTCCCACCGGCTCAACTACCCTGCACGAGGGAGGCGTCATCGTGGTACTTCTCTGTCCTCTAAGGGCAAAATGTTGCACACGTTGCTTCACGATGTCTGTTGCACACGCTGCCTTGTCATTGTCCAGTAGCTGAGGTCCCGCATGGTATCTCCAGGTTACCAAGAGGCAAATTAGTCGGCAATCAATTTGTTGAGCTTTGTAACTAGACAAGGAAACAGGCCATGATAGCTACTGGCAAGACGCTTGCTGGAGCTGTGTTACCAGAGATTAGGAAGCACCAGTCTTTCCTGCAGCTGTTGGCAGCATGTCTGAAGGGTTCATTAACCTCTGAAAGTTAAGTTCAACTTAGAAAAACGCGTCGCCACCACATCTAGTCGTCAAGTGTAACAGTATTTTACGCAAGGCAACGTAAGGAAATGTTGTTAACTTGTTGGCTCGTTTTACGTGTCACAATCGTTCTTAGTGGAACTGCATTAATGAACATGTTCATTCAGCAGGAGCGGTGGAGTGAATCGCAGCACACCTTTTTTAACACGATGGGCTAGCAAGTACGTGGTCTTCTCCTCGCCACGCTGAACACTTATATCACAGCAGGGATGATGCACGGGGTTGCACATCCAATGCATTGCACAGGAAAATTTGTCAAAAACCAAATTGAATGGCTGGATCCAATTGACCCCTGCCAGGAAAAAATGAAAGGAGCAGACAGCGCTAAGGTGTCCTCAAGATGTGTCTTGAAGGACTGTACAATCTTGACCAGCGGCACTAGGTTGTCGAATGGGCGTGTCACAAATGTCGGCGATAGACTCGAGAATCAACAGAGAGTCATTCAGAATGTCAAGATTGTCTTGGTGCAACTGCAGATCATAAAAGGTGCCAAACCAAGCTTTGAAGCGCTGTAAGCCGTCGTAAGCTGGCCAAATCAAGGGTCTGTGCTGGGCCCATGCTTGTTGTTTCAAGGTTGTAAGCTTGAGTGGTATGGCCGGCATGTGAATCTCAGAGGGAATGGACGGCTCACATCCTGGGAACAACTCCGTCTCCAAAATTGCCAATGCTTTTGAACAAGCAGACCAAAGAGTGTAAAGGGACTGCAAGTGAATAGGGGCACCTACTCTGTCGATGATGGCGTGCAAGCACATACAGATGTCCTCTATGGCCAATATAGAGCCGGTCCGGTAGTCATCGTCCGTTGGGGCTGAAGCAACGGATGCTCGAAGAAAATGTAGCACCACCAGGAGCAATGTCATTGTGTTAATCATGGTTGGCATAGCCACCCAAGGGATGGGTGGGTGGGTGAAAAACAAAAGGGAAAAAACCCACGAGCAAGGTTCACGGATCTACCAGGTCAAAAATGCTCTTGTGTGTGGGCACTAGCCAAAATAGCACGAATGCAAATGGATGGATGTGCAAGCATGCGACAAACAAGCCACCAACAAGACACTGCATCAATTTGGCCATGACATCACTGTTGTTCAGGTTGTTAGGTTTTGGCAACATGTTTGTTGATCGCCACCGTACAGGCGTAGTTTCTTTTTGACGATAACTGAAACACAAGACGATAGACGGAGTATGAACGCTCAAGATGTTTTCAACATCTTGTTTCTAAGAGGAACTTAAAGTACTATCAGAGGGCTGACAGTAAACTTAAGTTCAACTTAGAAAAACGCGTCGCCACCACATCTAGTCGTCAAGTGTAACAGTATTTTACGCAAGGCAACGTAAGGAAATGTTGTTAACTTGTTGGCTCGTTTTACGTGTCACGATCGTTCTTAGTGGAACTGCATTAATGAACATGTTCATTCAGCAGGAGCGGTGGAGTGAATCGCAGCACACCTTTTTTAACACGATGGGCTAGCAAGTACGTGGTCTTCTCCTCGCCACGCTGAACACTTATATCACAGCAGGGATGATGCACGGGGTTGCACATCCAATGCATTGCACAGGAAAATTTGTCAAAAACCAAATTGAATGGCTGGATCCAATTGACCCCACTTAACCGCAAGCAACACGATCGCTGTGGCAAGGAAAAGGTTCTTGCAAGTTAATTGATGCATGAAAGAATGAACTGGACCGCAGCTTCAACCTCACTCTTCACAGCTCTTTGTCCAAGGGATTCGATCTCTTTGTCACTTCTGGATGGCTCATCTGCAGGGTTCGACTTGGAAGGCACTCTAGCATACCAAGGGATGATGGAGAGCTCATCCTCCAGTGTGAGCAAAAGGTTGACGAGTTTCAGAGGTGTTACGGTTCTCGCCGATCCAGAAACTGCAACATCTCTTGCACTGTTGTTGTCAACAAAGATCACAACAGGTCTGTCCAACAAGTCGTTCTTCCAAAGTTTGACTGCAACGATGACTGCAATGAGCTCCGCTTCAAAAATCACAGTCTGCTTGTGTTCCGGGAAGCCTAGAACTGCCAGATCATTTTTGTCGAGGCAGTATGAGAAGTGTCGCAGGGCTTTGCCATTCTCATCATACAAGACCCCTCCCACGCCAGCCGGCCAAGATGCATCGGAAGGTTCGAAGCTGGCATCAGTAAAAACAAACCGGGGCTTGTTGGTGCCTGAAATGATTTCCTTGGACTTACCGGCATTCAAAACTTTTCTGAAGGTGGACAGCGCCGCTGCTAAGGCGTCACAAACCTTGCTTGAATTGTTGTTGTAGGCATGGAGGGTCACCTGCTTGAGACATATCTTGCTAGCCCTTCCCCAAACCTGTGAGTTTGCAAACTGCATCCTTCCACGCAGAGACAACGCAGCGGCACTAGAGAGTGTGCCCTCCCTCAGCGCTTTGTCGATGCAACCGCTGAGCTCCAAAATCCTCTTTTCTGTGTTTTGCATGAGCACAATTCCCTTCGTCCAGTTGTCAAGGGATATCTGCACACCCAGAGCTTTGAAGATGTCGCTGAAGGGAAGATCTTTGTCACCGCCAGATACCCTCCAACCCAAAAGATCGAAGAAGGTTTGCACACAACCCGAAACAATCGTAGCACAAGTTTCACGGGAGAGACAGATAAAGTCGTCGAAATAACTCGACCAAATCAGGCCTAAGCCCTTAGCACCAAGGTACCAGAGGGAGTGTGCCACTCTCAAAAAGCAATAGACAGACTTTGTGGCCCCGAAGGGCAAGGCCTTCATTTGATAGATTTCAGCCCTGTCGGTGTTTGGGTTGTAGACTGCTATATACGCAGCCCAAGCCGAAGTTTCTGAAACAATCATCTGTCTGTAGGCCGATGCAAGGTCGAATGTCTTTCCCAGCCACCTGTTCGAGCGATCACCAATGTTGAGTTCTCTGAGAAGCGCTGCTACGAAATCGAGGGTGTGGAGATAGGGTGCTGCACCTGCTTGCACGCAGCCATTCACCCCTGAAGCAGAAAAATCATCAATCAATCTGACTTTGTCACCTTGCCGTATGCCGAATCTTCGATTGATGATGGCGTGTTCAGGAAGGTCCTCCTGATTGATGGGTCCACATATCCAGCCATCTGCTTTCTCATCCAGGGTCTTTCGGTATACTTCGGCATCAATCTCGCCGTCACCCCCACTTCTCATGCCGGCCAGTGTCGCATCCCTGGATGCCTTGGCACCTTCTCTCAGTTCACCGACAGATTTGGTGGCTGGCTTGAAGGCCGATGTCATCGATGGAACTTGGCCCACAGAGCCCACAAGATCAACTCCCTTCAAGAGCTCATCGACCACTTCCATGTCGTCATAGTTGTAGCGCTCCAAAAGGGTTTTCCAAAGAAGGATTCGTTTCCCTTGCAAAATAACTCTGGCATGATCTGGAAGGGCTGCGTGAATGTTTCGCTCTTCTTTCTGCAGATCTTTGGCAAGGGCGGACCATTCCGAGAGGGTCTGGAGCATGGTTTGGCACAGCTGTTTTGGGGTGCTCCTCAAGTTCCACTCGATAGCTTCTTCAAGAGCGCATGGCAGGACAGCGCTCCACTGGGATGGGTGACCAGCTTTCACCGCTTCTTCAACAAATTCTTCAGGGGTGTGATAAATCCCGAAGGCCATGTCTTTCTGAGGAACGTTGTCATCCATATCAGCCATATCCCCCCCGTTTGTCCGTACTGGTGTTCGTTTCAAATATTTGGCGCCAGGGGGAAGGTCTTGCCAGCTGGACTGCCGTGAACTACCTGGCAGGCAAGGGTCCGAGTCATGTAGTGGCCGCTTGCGATGATGGATGATTTTGAATTCTGGCACTAATGGTGGCAGTTTGGATGCCCTTGGTTGGGTGGACGTAACTGCACGCAAGTGCTGCAGAGTCGGACCTCCACTCAATTGCACCGCAGGTGGGAGCCAACCTTTGGAAACTGCTACTGCTGCGAAGACACCTGCAATCGCATAGGCCAGGTCAACAGGGTAGGCAGCTTCCTCTTTTGTGCTAAATTGCTGTTTGTCCATGTCGTAGCCCCATGGCTTGTGGATGTGCTGCTTGGATTGACCCGGGCACGTCCTGCAGATGGTGAAAAATCCATCATGGTTGTGGAGCAAAGCGGTCCACTTGGGTCTCTGTCCACCGTATGCACAGGCTTGATGGGCTGTAAACTTGAGTAGTTTTGTCAACGGCTGGGCAAAAGAGGTCAGCCAGTACAAGGAACTTCTGGGGTTCTCTATGCAAATGACCTTCCCGTGCTCCACACAGTAGAGTGCGATTTCCGTGAGGAATGCATACAGCTTATTCGCAGCACCCACCCTGGCTCTTTGGCTCCACGTCAATATGGGTAATCCATCTGGATAAGATGAAGATCTCAATGGTGGAGGTCCAGAACGTTGTTTGGAGCCCGGCACTTGAATTGGGATGTTGCGCGCAAGGCTACAGGTACCGCATGGCTGTGCAGCGAACACTCCAAAGCATTGATCTGCTTTAATCCACTGCCAGAAAAGCGACTGACCGCTGCTCGTTGTAAGATCGGCCGTGATTACTTTTGCAATGTTGTTACTGAGAATGTGGTCCACTCCAAAGCAGCCCGTAAGTCCCAGATAACGTAGGCATGCAGTGACCCGAGCGGAACCCGCAAACATCTCAATGACGAAGGGCTGTGACGGGGCAGTAGGCTGAGGCTGCTTCAGTATGGTGTCATCTTTACATGCAGCAAAATTGTGTGGCTCTTCGGCCACTGGCACTGAATTGGATTGCGGCGCTTCGGCCGATGTTTCATCATTGCACTGGGGCTTTGACTGTAGTCAATGCTTGCCATGGTTCTTCATGGAGTGGTTCCCAAAACATTTCGCGCACACATGATGCCCTCTCGTGCACTTCGCCCCGTCCATAGCGCCGTCACAAGATCCAATGTTGTAAGAAAAACATATTGGCTCGCCTGAAGGAAGAGAGGCCTTGCCTCCTTGGTCACGGATCTGCTGTGGGATCCTGGGCTCCCATTTGGTTTTTCCCTTGCCTTTCCCTTTTGGCTTGTTGATGGATGGCTTCACAAGCGGCCTGGGCCCCGCATGCGGCTTGGCCTTGGGAAAGGACGGCGATGGCTTGGTCTCAGTCTTCGGTGTGGATCTGCTCGGCAATGGCATGAGGATGAAGGACACCTCATAGCTTTTCAAGGCTTCATCCAGTTTGCTGTCAATGGGCTTTGTGCCATCGATTGCACGTCGAGGCTTGACATTGTCCTGGATGAGCTTCTTCCAAACTTCTTTGTCTGCATTCACCAGCTGGGACACATTGCATCGCGCGAACCCTGCTGGGGGCTCCCTGTGCAGGTGTGTAAACAATGTTTGTATGTACTTCTCGTGGATGGCAAAGGAACAGATGTCCGCAAAATCCAGCGCCAAACCCCTTCGGCGAAGGGCTTCTTGAACCTGGAGCGCTGATTGTGCAGCGATCTCCAAATCTCCTCCGCGCTCCTTCACAATGAGTTTCGATGATTCCACCTCCAGAATTTTGTCGGGTTGTTTTGTAGACGTCAGCTCATGAAGTCTGCTGACGCATTTCTCAGGAGGGATGTAGGACACCTGGTTCTTTTCATGCATTTGTACTGCTTGGTCGAGGAGACCGTGTCCGGGTTCTGTTGCACCTTCGATTACTTGGCCAGCAAGTCTCGTCTTCAAATTGTTCAGGCGCATTTCTCTTTCCGCCTGGGGGAGCTTCTTGGCGACGAAGTTGTCGGGTTGTGTGACTTGCTCTTTCAAAAGTGCCAAGAGTTGCGTTTGAGATTCAAAAAGCAGACGCTTGAGGGTGGCCACAGCTCCCACTGTCACATTCGGATCAATTGTCTTGACCCACGTGGCAAATTTCACATCATCGATTGTCTGTCCCGGCTGTCCAAAGGAATAAGCAAGCGTAGAAATGGTGGTGATACCTGCCGTTTCCAAAGCAGTTCTCAGGGTGGCAGGGACCTTGCAATCTGACAACCTTTGCTCAAATTGTGCAGTGCTATCGGCGAACGAAGACATGATCACAGGCAGCGTTCAAAAGAAGGGTCGTGAGTCAGCTTCAACATGACGCTTGTCTGCCTGAAAATGAGTACAAGAAAACTTTGGTTGAAAATTGCTCAAGACAGGCCATGTTAATGGTTTAGGAGGGATTCCTTTAAGACCAAAAGAAAAAACCATGGTAAGACACTCTTCATGCTTTGTGAATTCTGGAGCCGGTCGGCGTACGTTGGATAACATGCCACGCACTATGTCCCATGGACGTTGCATGAGCTTCACTGCATGAGCTTCACCGCTGCAGCTTTCCATCACGTGACATGCACACCAACCGCTCCTTTTTTTCACATCTTCCTGGCGCACATCTTGCAGATAACATTCCAGGCACTCGATTCGGTTGACCTGCTATATGCATCTGTCAGCCTCTTGCCACAGCTCAGAAACCTAATGTTCCAACCCTCGTCACCTTGTTCATGCCTGTGGGGGATGTGGCTTTTCCTATGGACGTACCATAGCTCATCGGCTGGTACCTTTGGCCTAAAACGCCTGACTTTTGTGGGCGGTTCCTCAATCGCACTGGAAGCAGAGCTTTCAGCGTCACTAGACGATGACGAGTCGGATTCATCCGAGCTGACAATAATTTCACCCTCCACAACCTCGCTTGGGTGATCTTCTTGCTTGCACTCAACTTCGACTGGGCCCAATTCACCTTGGCTCATGACATGCCTCTGGATAGGCGGTGTCGGAGGGAATGTCGGAAAGAAATCTCTTCCTGGCGCATCCGGCAAGAACCTGCCCTCTGCGATCTCCACAATCACTGACTGAAGCTCTCTTGTCGGAGCTACTGTCAAATCCCTGCTATAGATGGTGTAGGTGTCGACCAGGGCACCAGAGTGCCTACCCAGTATTGACCTCGTCGTTCCTGATAGGCCATATTTTGCACACCAGGACAGCGTGGTCGATTTCAATGAGTGCGACGAGATTTCAAGTCTGCCATCACCATTAAGCTGATCGAGCGAGTGCGTGACTGCTCTAAGCATGCCCGTGGTCTCTGAGGATGTCAGGCCTCTTTGTAACAATGACCCCGGCTCACGATCAGGCGCTGGCAGCAAAGGACCTTCGTCAATGTTGTCCACGGGGGCTCCGACTGCTTCAAGGGCTTTGCACGCCAGAGCCAGCCATTGTTCGCCATTGACGCCGATGCCAGGAATCAAAATCGGCAGAAGTTTTGACTTTTTCTCTGCACTGCGTCCGGTCTTGTGGTTTGATGTTGTGATCTCCAGAAAGCTGCACCCTCGGCCAACGTCAAGCTTCACAGAATGAATACACTGCAAGTCCGAATGGCGACATCTCCCATAAAGTGCAATCAAGCAATAAGCACTGAAGGCACGGTCGTATGGATGTTTGTTAACATCATTGAGAGCCTTGTGAATGAGGAGGACTTGATTGACCGTGAGGGGCGCTGCTTGTTTGAGCAAGGGCTTGCCTGCAAGCAGAATCTCTACCAGCCCCGTGAGCCTCCTGCTGCTCAGGCAAGGGCCAAGGGTTTCCATTCCAAGGACATGCACTCCAAATCTAATGGCTGAGAGGCAAGAAGACGCTCTCGTTGCTGCCGCACCCACCTCCTTCAGCCATGAGAAATATGCCCAAACATGTTGCTCCTCGAAGGGATTCACTTCACTGGCAAGTTGCCTCGCTGCCCACCGAAGGTAGCTCAAAAGGGAGTTAGCTCTTTTCACCACTGTAGCCGGTGACTTGACTCCGACAATGGCGGTCAGGATCTTGACTGCTTCATCTTCCGAATCTCCACCTTTGGAGGCCAAAATTTGCCTTCCCGCGACTGAGGCCAGCATGCAATGCCTGAGCACTATCAAAAGTTTCTTGATGGCAGCGTCCATGAGGGATGTGCGTTTGGTTGCATAGTCCTTGTCCGTGATGCTCTTCACGAATGCTGGGTAAATTGCACTCTCACCTGCTGCCATATGAGGTTGGGCAGCTTCAGAGACTTCGGCCCTGCAGGCTTCAAGAGCCATCGCCAGGTCATTGTGTTGGCCTTGATTCGATATCTCAATCTTCGGCACTATATCCGGCAATCCATCACCATCATTGAGCAGTTCTGCAAAGATGCCTTGTTCCCACGGAAGTTTCGTGCTGACGAGATCGACGTTTGTGAGCAACGAATGTGCAAACCATGCAGCGTGATCTCCACTAGACAACAAAATGCGACTTGTATCACTGCCTGTGTCCTGTAATGAAACGCCGGCGGATGATGCCATTTCACCTGCAGTGGACAAGGGTTCCTCTCCAAAACCTTCACAGTCTTCATGAAGTTCAGCGTCAATCAAACCGTCCTGTCTGCCAAACAATTCGGTTGTGTCCAGGGTTTGTGAGCTGTGCACTGGGAGCGCTGCGTCACTGGGTGTGATGTCAAGGGAGCCATGGGACCCCCGGTTAGCCGTCATAAAGCAAACATGGAGACGAAAAAGCAACACATGCAACATAAGACATTGAGAATGGATTGCAAACACTGGTGTGAAAAAGGACATGGCACCTGCACATTATCATGTAAGACAAAATTACTGGAGCCGAAACATGAATCAGAGATATACTCTGTTCGAAGGATGTGCCAAGCACAGAATGCGACATCCGCATGTGTGAAAGCTACACCGCGATCACATCTGAAGCTTCACCGCTCAGATTTTGGCTGCACCGCACGCTGGTCACACCAGCTAATATCAAATTGGGGAATACCGGCTGTTGCGGCAAAATGGCACGGCAAGAATGATGAAATGCATCGGCCGACTGTTGCGGCGATAGGCTGCACAAAGGAAAAATTGGAGACTGTCAATGGCCTCGATCAGGTTGAACGTGCTGTGGTCACGCGTCCGGCTCCGGGGCATCCACTGGGTCCACAAGCTGGCCAGGAGGTACTGAAAGACCTGGAAAGAGTGGGATCAACGAAGGGTCCATCGCGCACAAGGATTCCACAACGATCCCCAGCGTGTCTCGGAGCTGATGCAGCCGAAGATCCCGCATGCCAACTTGCAACTTGAGGTGACGGATTTCGTCCCTGAGGTCATTCACCTGGGCCGCCAAATGCTCCGCTTCGGTGGCGAGGGTGCCCACACGATAGATCAGGTCTGCAGGAGGGGTCAATGCCAGGACCATCTTCGCGGTATAACCTGCTGACCGTTGGCTGGAGCCACACCTCAAGTCAAGCAGTCCGTCCATGGCACGGATGGCATAGGCTCTGATCTGGTCGTACAGGATGCGATCGCACACCAAGAACATGATGTACTTGAGCGGGCTCAAGTCATGGTCCCATGGGACGACCAGGCCATTCCACCGATCCAAAGGCGGCACAGTGTTGTGGTCGGCGTCGAGCTCGATGGGAATGATGAACTCGTTGACCTCGCAATTGGGAGTATTGAGGCGAAAATACCCCAAAATGCGGTTCAGGCTGTGATCGTCCGCCTGCGTCCAGCGCACTCGAAGCTCATGCGTACTGAGCGGGATGGTGGGCAAGGTCATGGGGCCCGATGTAGTGCCAGAAGTTTTTGGACGGGCTGCGGCGGCAGGCGACGATGTCTCCATCTGAAAAACAAAAGGGAAAAAACCCACGAGCAAGGTTCACGGATCTACCAGGTCAAAAATGCTCTTGTGTGTGGGCACTAGCCAAAATGGCACGAATGCAAATGGATGGATGTGCAAGCATGCGACAAACAAGCCACCAACAAGACACTGCATCAATTTGGCCATGACATCACTGTTGTTCAGGTTGTTAGGTTTTGGCAACATGTTTGTTGATCGCCACCGTACAGGCGTAGTTTCTTTTTGACGATAACTGAAACACAAGACGATAGACGGAGTATGAACGCTCAAGATGTTTTCAACATCTTGTTTCTAAGAGGAACTTAAAGTACTATCAGAGGGCTGACAGTAAACATCACACCCTCAAAAACAGGCTAGTCCAATATCATGAGCCTGCGCGAGAACCCTCAGACGCAGAAGCTGTCCTAGAGTGGGGACTCAACACACCGTTTACCTCGCAAGATAAACCACCCCTGGCCATTGCCATGGTCCTGACATTGAATGGAGTGCGCTCCCTGAGACGGTATAGGTTGGTCATTGCGCAGAAGTCGAAGCTGCGGCTTACGCAGGAGGTCACTGCGGCACTAGCCTCTCAAAGTCGGGACCACCGACTCACGGCGAGTGGCTTCTTCCCGTGCTCGATTGATCGGGAGTACCTGTATGGCTATGCAGGGGACGGATATCGCTCTCCACTGTGGCTTTGTGCTTCCCACAATGGATCTCCGGTTCTTGTCCACCGGCTCCGGGGCAGCAAAATATACTTCCATCAGGCCACCAAAGACCGGAGGATATTGCTCATACCGGGTATCCATTATTTTGATGCTCACCGGCTGCAACCACTGCTGCTGCAGGCTCCTGCATTGCAAATCCACCTGAGAGCGAGGGCTCTGAGGTGGGGGAGGAAGCTGAAGAGGCGGATCTGCCTCCTGAAGAGCCATGGTGCCCGCCAATCCCAGACGCGCTTGATGATCCCACGGAAATGGAAATCGAAGGTGGTGGTGACAAGCTGGCCACCATGATGAAAAGTTCTCAACCTCAAGCCAACGTCTTCTTCCAACCTGACAACCTAGGTGCTCTCCCACACCTCTGGCTGCAGGCTAAACTTACCATCTCTTTAACGTCCATACAGGACAAGTTTGCCCGCCTCTTCATGTCTATTGCGGCCGAACTGTGGCTGAGGGATGCAATCGATACAGTAGAAGAAGTATTTACACATGCAGCCCGCAACTTCACGCTCCGGCTTGCAGAAAAGCTTGCGCAGTACATCTGCTCGCTCACTCGACGAGCAGAGTCCCTGGCAACCCCAGAGACTGAATGCCTTCTGTATGCCACGTATTGGTTTCGTCCAATTCTCTCCGAGCTAATTGGAGCAGCCCAGGAGAGTGCAGACGTGAACCGAGAACGTGCCCCCAGTGGCCCTGTGAAAGTTGTGGTCACCAACCGACCTCACTGTCGGCGCAACAATGGAGTAGACCTTGTCAGCGGGGTCTCGGCCCTCCTCGCGTGGTTTCCGGCTAGCTGGGCTAGCAAGATTGCACCGTGCTTCAAGGGGGAAGAAGGTGGCTCCATACAAGTCCCGCAAGAAGTTGCCATTGTTTGCCCCCATCGAGAGTTGAAGGACTGCAAAGGGATGCGGTTGACCAAGTGCTACAGGCAGTCAAGTTTACCGACAAGAATGTCCCGGGACTGAGCTTGGCGCTGGATGAAGAATTCCAAGCAGCCAATTGTTTTACGGAACTCATCCGTGGTTACACAATGGGTGTGGTGGAACCTTACATCATGATGGGTCTGCAACCCACTGGACCCACAAGAGTCAACCTGGAAGTCATTGTACCATCCCCAACAGGACTCACTCCAGCAAAGTGGAAGCAGACAGCCAATCTGTGCCCATTGGCCGTCAAATTATAGCCTCCTTCGATTGTGGCACATGACCAAAAGCTTCCATCAGTACGCTGCACAGCTCAAGCAGCAAATACAACATCGTCATATGTTTACTCACTGGGAAGTCAACAGCGCGAAGTTGGCGAGTAGAGTGCTCTTCCAGCGACCAGCCCATTATGTGCCAGAAACGATCCTTAGGCAACACGTACAAGAACGGGTCTTCCCTGGTAGGAGACTACGTAGGAGAACACCAGCAACTGACAGGGTTGCCTTTCAGGCCAAATGTAACGAGCTACGGCTCCTTGCAGCAGGGGCAGAGAGGGCTAACCCTGTATCCTTCGCGATTGGGAACAGCTGGAATGACACTCTCCGAGCAGATAAACAACACTACCTTGAATATACTACACGGAGTCAGACGTAGCGACCCTCCTCTTCCTCCTCCTCTCCCCTCGTTTTTGTTTCGTTTGCCTTTGCCCCCTGTGCCCTCGTCCTTTGGGCGCCACAGTGTGTTTTGCTCCCACTTGCTGCGGTGTTGTGGGGGGCTTTTTGCGTGCTTATGTGGGGTTCTGTCCCCTCGTGGCCCCCCCTTCATGATTTGGTTGTTTTTCTGGTGCGGCTTTGATTTGGGCCGTGCTCTCCCTGCCGTCCTTTGTCCCTGGTCTCGTTTTGCTTCTTCCTTTCGGGCTTGGCCTCTCTGTGTTTGTGGTTTTGTCGTGTCGGTGTTTCTGCCTGCGCGATTGCTGGTGTCTTTCGGTGGTCGTCGTGCTCCTTTCTGTGGGTGGTTGGGCCCCTCTGTGTCTGTCGTGTTTGTGTGGCTGTTGTCGGCTCCCCTCCCTGCCGTTTGTTGCTTCCCTTCCCCCTGCGGTTGGTCCCGTGTGGCGCCCTGGCCCAGTTTGCACGCTGGTCCCTCCCTCTGGGTATCTGGTTGCTTTTGTGACGGCCTGGTTGCCCTGCTTTATTGCTGGGAGTGTGGTTGTGCTCTGTCGTCCTTCCTTCATGTTGTCTCATGGCAGCAAAGGCCTTTGGCCCTGTGTGGGGTTGTTTTCCCTCTACACCATGATGCATGTGTTGTTAGGGTGCCCAGTATTACCACGCTGAGGTATTCATCTATGATGATCCAGGCCCCCCATTGGACACCGCTAAGCTTCACTATTGCTATTCTAAAGCAGTAAGTGCGGCCTACTCCGCTCCTGTCCTCCTCTGCCCTCCCGGCACCCCCCTCTCGCTCCTGTTGTGGTTGTGTCGTGGTTTGTTGCTCGTTGGTGTCCTCCGTTTCTTCTGGCCATCTCCCCTGCCCTCACTTAGGTGCATGACGTCTGGAGCTTAGAGTGGTGCGTGAGTGTTTTTCAATCTTGTTAGGGTTACTTCGTTGACGGTGGTTATTGTTTGAGTGGCAAGGAAACAGCTTTTGTTCACTAAGGTGACTAAGGACGGGACTCTTTTGGCGCCCCCTAGGGCCCGTGTTTTTGCCCCTCTTCCTTTGCTTTGCCCTCCTCCGGGGGTTTTATTTGGTGTTATTGAACTTGAATTCGTTTGTCTCTTCTGAGTCTTTACTGGGTGTCCTTTGTCCGGTGGCTCTGCGTGGTTGGGTGTGTCTATCCGAGAGGGGCGGTAGGTAGCCGGCCGAAGCCATGGACCAGGATGCGCTGCAGTGAGTCTCACTGGAGCAATCCAGTGGTGCTCCCTGTAGGACAGCCTGGGGCGCCCGCGAGCAGCATAAGTCTGCCTACATGGTTCGTCAGTTGGTGGACGGGATTTGGTGATTCTGCAGCCTGCCTTACTCTGTGGGTGAGTAGCGTTATGGATTTGGATGCACTACATTCGTCTACTTTGCATACCGCAATGCACTGCAGGTCTTTCAGGGACGATGACATCCTGAAATGTCTTGAACAGTTCTGTGGTTGGCACGTTTAGCGAACCTGCAACAACGAGAGCAACGTTGCCGAAGGTAAAGCTGGTAGGGCGAAACTGTTGGTTACAGTCATGTCAATTTTCGGCTCTCTTTTGCTGTCCGAGTGTGGATTCATCGCCTCGTTTGGCTTCATGCTATCTGCACGACCGAAGATATCATTGCATGCTTTTCATCTTTGCGAGCGTTGCCTACTGCTGAGGAGTATTACTGGCGGAGCTCAATCACTTTGCAGGTTTACATTTCTCCCCTATGAAACTAGGGGCCCTGCACTACATTTGCGATGGCAGTATGGAAGTTTTTCACTGGCTTGCGAAGCTTCCTGTGCGCCACCACCGTCCGCCCCCCCCCTACTGGGGGGGTACCTGGCACAGTGACCACCACGACATTCTTGCTCACGGTAAATATATGGTAACGACTCTGTCCATGGAGGCCTTCTGGACAAGCTGATCTGAGAGGACGCTGAGAGAGGCATAAGTTGTAGCCCTGTGTTCATGTACAGCTTCGGCACATCTATGCCAGAGTAGACAGGCAAACTGTTTAGGCCTTCATGTCTGCTTGAATGTCGTGGTTCTTACTTCATTTTCGCATGTTTTTGAGAGTGATGCAGTGGTCAAACCGCTGTGTCCTTTGGCAAATCTTTTTTGTGGGTGTTTTTGTTTGGGCTCCGGCCCCTTTTGTGTGTCTGGTTTGTTGTTTCTCTTGACGAAACGCAAGTCTGGCTGGGGGATTTGCGGGTCGTCTGGCTGGTTTGTGGGTTGCTTGGTTTGGTGTGATTTGCCCTCATTTCTGGACCTTTTTTGGTCCTTGTACAAATAGCATTTTACTGCTTATGCTCATGTAAGGACCGAGCCATAGTGCGACATCGGCCACACTCGAGGAAAAAAAATTGGGTCAACATTCAAAAGCTGCTTTAGACGTTTGTTGGAATTGCTCACTTCCATTTCCTCCGCAGTGCAACATCATCATCGTTCCCTCCTCTTTCTTACGCAAGCACACATAGTCCTATGTCACTTGCGTGTGACAGGATGATGACGCCCACCTTCGAAAAGGCAGCAGTGAGCTGGGGAATTGTATGCGCCATTGCGTTGGCGTGGCGTCAGGGTTGTGGCAGAGAGCAGCTAAAGCCAAGCCATTTACAGGGTGATGGCGGCAACAAGACTAGCGTTGTCAATACACTCTGACAGACAGGAAAAAGTTAGTTGGGGAACGC